CGTGGGTAACTATTTTTCATTATACATTTTAATATGCTTATGAATAATAAAATATGCTAAATTACATAGAATCAAAGTCATAAACACTTAATCAAAATTTAATTTAATTTTTGCCTTCAAGGAATATTTGAGATGTACTAAAATAAAATCAAAGCTATGAACATTTAATGGACTGGAATATTTTATAGCTTCACTGAATGGCAACCAAAATTAAGATCTAATCTGTAAATAAGCTAATGGCCCCCTCACAAATTTAAAAAACTTAAATGCAGCACAAATGCTAATTAAAACGTTTGAGAAGAGGCTTGTCTGCCAAAGAGAAAACTTAAACTAATCCCTAATCCAACCAAAGTCGGGTCAGAATGTTTAATGTGACAATCGTGGCGAGATAACTAATTTAATTAATGCATAACCATAACGATTATTATTGTAATTATATACACACGCAAGCGATGAATATGCAAGCACGAAGATGAGGCCAAAAAAAGAAAAAACTGGATATCTCTATGAAACTATAAAACCATAAAACTCGTTTGCTAACTTTTGCCAACTAATGACGAACCGACTTTCAAGCATATGCTTAAGTTTAAGCTTAAGCTTAAGCCAGCTTGGCGACAGGTGCAGGGCCCATCCCAAATCCCCATTATCATGACGTCATGGCCATTGTTGATTCTCCATAAGAAATATATACACCTTGAGAAAAACCCTTTACTTTTTGGAAATGTAATTTTAAATTTTAATTTAAGTGTTCCTTAACAACTATTTCAATAAAAATAAATAGCTATGGTAGTTAGAATGCATTATAAAAATCTCTGGGATTTCATTTAATATAATTTTTAATATATATATATATTTAATATAATATAATATTTATGCATATTCAAAAAATCTTTATTCAGATATATATTTATGTACTGAATTCTTTTAATTACATCATAAGTAAACTTATCTATTTTCAAACATTGAAAATTGAATGTTGCACAAAGTAATACCATGTTTTTTCCTGTGCATTTGTATGTAGATTTTTTCGTGCGGCCAAATCAAATAGGCATTCAGATATGAATTAAGTTTAATCAATGCAAATGATTTGCACTAATTTAGCAACAAGTTTTTCGGTGTCAGTTTGCTCAACTTCCTAGTTTGTGCGGCACAGTGTTCCCTCGTTAACAGGCCCCTCATAACGAGCTGCGGAAATGTTTGCCAACCGAAGTCGAAGTGGAGAGCGCAATTAACAAGTTCTTATTGCCGGACTTAACTCTTTCGCTAATTGGCGTTGCATTTCGGTCCACGCCTTTGTTTCTGGGTTCGGGCATCGCTTTTCAAGGACCAAAAGTATCGAGTATCTGGATAACAGCAGTCCCAAGATCTCGTGAAAATGTGATTCATCGCGCTGTGTAACAAGTCGATTGGAATTTCTTAGAACCATTTCGCTGTGTTGTTTATTCAGCTCAGACAACAATCCGAGCGAATCTGTTTCAGCGAAATATTCTGATTCATCGTTCTATGCCGTACAATATTAGCATATTGAACCATACAGAAAGGCATCCTGTTTGTAAATAGCTGCATTCTTGACCTTTAGTATTGGGATAAGCTTCCGAAACTTGAAAAATGCTAACCTTAAAGTACTAACACTAATGCAGATAGTTAGAAAATGGCAAATTCAAATTAAATTGGTAAAGTTTTAGGCAGGTTTTTATTGAAAGCAGGTTTATAACTATTTAAGCCTTTAGAATGTTACAATGAGACTGAAAAGCGCTTGGTCGTCTATTTTTTTTTAATTCTAAAAGGGATAGTGTTATTTAATTTAACAAAATTTTAAAACAAATTCTTAAATACAAGGTTCTATTCGTAGATAAATTATGGCTATTCACAACCGTTCTGCGGCTGATAAATACCATATCGAATCGGTCATGTAAGTTGACCCAGAATTGGACCCAATTCGCCGGCGCATTCTCATTCCATTCACAACCAAGCAACTAAAGTAATCCCCCGAAGCGCAAACCGTTGCACACACTCCTATATAGTCACCATATAGTGCCCATTCACTTGCGATTGCCAGTGTAACTGGCATCGTGATCGGACAATCAATTTGGCTGCATTTCGTAGTTCTGCGAATCGAGTGATTCACTCGTAAATGTAGTGTGTAGTATAGAACACATCATTCATACGAATGCAGCTCTAGTTTTTGGTCTCTCCCACGCCACCAGGAATATCTACGTATGTGTGTGTGTTTTTGAGTCATTGCGGCTGTAACGGGTTTTTAGCACTGCGAGAAAATATTTAAAGTATTTAAGAAATTTAATTACAAAAATTGTCGTATCGATCAAGGTTGCCAAAGAGCAAAATGATTTAAAAAAGATTTTACAAAATTACAAAAAAACTTTTTGGATCCAAAATCAAAAATATATTAAATATTTCAGCCATGGTACGAAATACTTTTGAGATGTAAACTTAGCTTTTTTCAGTGTATTGGCGATCATTTCGCAATTATTGATTTTGGCAGTGCAAATAGATGTAGAGCCGTGATTTCTGAGCCGCGTTTTTGTGTGTGCGCACAATATTTGAACGGGCGACGCCTTTCGTGGTAATTTAAGGCATTTTGTGTACACAGTCTGTTAAGATTCGTAAACAAATCACGTCCCAGCAGCAACAACACTACGCAGGCGCAGCAGCGTCATGGCGCGCAGCTTTTTTGAATTTCGCGCCGTCGCCAAACATGCATGTGTATGCATTCAGATACGATCGAGTATATATACTATATGACTATATGACGATATAGTACATATTGAAAGATGCCGGTTGCGTTGGCGTCGCCTGGCATTTTGACCGTTTCTTTTCGAACACATTGGCGGGCACTCATTAAAGATATGGCGGCGGCCATAGGGCAAATCGGGGCATATTCAATACATTGATCAGTTTATGAAGAATTAAATAAAATGTATTTATTAAAACGTATTATATATTGTAGTTAATAAGTTGTGTAAGAAGTGTATAATTCAATTGCAAACAAAATCCTTAAAATTCAAGTTTCATATTCTTTTTAAGTTTTTAAGCTATTGAAAAGAAAAAATGAGGTATTTCTGTTTAAGTCCTAAAAATGTATTGATGAGTATTTGAATTTTATAGATAGGAATTAAGAAAGAGGTGCTGCTAGCTTTTATTCTTTCTGTTATTATAATCTTAAATTGAATGCAAACATACCATTACAGAATATTTTGAAATATATTACTAAGTTTTTATATTTATTATATTTTTACAGAGTATTTTTAGTGCTGTTCTTGGTGGGCTTTGCATTTGTGGTCTCTGTGTTCCATTTCGCATTCATTAGCAGTATTCGCACTCTTTTCGTCTCTTCGATGTCCGCATTCATTTTGCATGCATCGTTTTTTTTCTTCTTTTTTCATTTTATTTGTTTTGTTTGGTTTGGTTTTTTTTTTGTTTGTTGCTTAACGATGCCGCTGTCTGCCGATCGGTTTTTATTTTTCTTTTTTAATAAACACGCCAAGACAACAACAGAAAAAGAGCAAAAGCGAGCAGCGCCGGCAACAGCGCAGAAATGCAAAAATAAACTAAGAAAAATAAGTAAAATAAGAGGAATGAATATAGAAGCATAAAAGCGGAGACTGCGCCAATGCCGGCCGGCTTTTTTAACCGACTGAGTCACTGCAGGTTTTTGAACTTGCTAAAATCGCTGCGCAGGCGCATTCGGCGTGCAATTTTCAGCGCGCGCTTTTTGCTTTGCTTTTTTTTTCTTGGGCCGCTTCCTTTTTGCGGTTTCTGTTTTGTTTTGCTGCCTCTGGCCGCGGACTCTATTTCTTAAAGACATTTTTAAAATGTTTCGGCGGTTACAAGCGCCTAAAAACAGGGCGCAATCGATAGAGTGGAACCCCTTGGGGGCAGAAAATATTGTGTTCATTAAGCTTTAACTTTCTGCCAAATGGAAAACAAAGTCGTAGAATTTTTTGAGTATAAATTACCTAAAGTAACATAAGATTAACTTAATATTTTAAAAAGTGGTGGTATAAAATTTAATTTAAAATTCCTAAGCCTTATTTATTGTAAAATAACTATTGTCAATGTTAAAATAACTCATTATTTAATTTTACAATAAAATACAATTTGTAACCTTCTTTATAAGTGGTTTTAATTTATTACGCATACGCAGTGTATGCGTATATGCGCAGGCAGCAAATACAGAGTTCCCTTTAGATTTAAATATAAATAAATTTTTTTTTTGTCATTATACAAAATTAAGTTATTTTACTTTACTTTTTAAATACAAATTACTTGGTTCATTTTTGGTTTACCTACTGTATTTTCCTGACTTTATCTGCGATATTTCCTCTTTCACTTATTCGCAGCTCTTAGCTTTGATTCATAAAATAAATGGATCGTCTTTTAAATGCACAAATGAATTTCTCTGTTGTGCCGAGCATCCGCATAGGCCCCTTAATCCCCGTAGCCCCGCGAAATGCAACTGACGACATGATTAGGAAGGAGGGGGGAATTTCGATCCGATCTCTCAGAACCATCATAAAAACCCGGTGACGGGGTCCCGCAACTGGCAATTAATTAAAATGCATAAATTATGGCCCATCCGCCGTGTTCGCGGCTCTTTTCCGCACATTTGCTGGTCGTTTTAATGGCGCCGTTTCATTAGCGGTCCGCCACTGAGATTCATGCCTCCCGACGCCCAGAAGTAGGCCATCTCTCCACAGCCAAGTCCTTTGTTAGCTTGATGTTTGATATATAATAAGCTAACAAAATGTTATTTTTCTGAGCGAAACAAAAGTCTATATATTAAACCGAGAATTTTTGGGGAACTCGGCCATCTTAAATCGCGCATTTTATCCGGCTTTTTTGGCTTCGCGTGGTCCTCAGATCATTTGGCAACGTTGTAAATTGAAGCTAAAGTGTTGTCCCCAGCTGGATCTCTGAATCTCTGGATCTGCGGATGATTGAGATCGTGATGGAGACAAAGGGGCAGAATGGAGATGAAGACACTTCATTTTTTTGGTCGTGCTGCGAGTGTGACAAAACAATTAATGTTTATTTTTGCATTTTAATTTGCCAACATTAATTGCAAGTTATTGAGCGCTGAGCTGGGCCAACGAACCGCTGCCCTTGGGATGGCCTGTCCTTATTTATTTGCCCGCGAGGGTCATGGTCATCAGGACGACGAACATGGAGTGGGCCAGCAGGGTGAAGTCGGCGCCCAGGCCCTCCCAGTAGTAGTCGAGGATGACGGATCCGTAGCGGGCTCCAAAGGCCAAGGCCGCCATGCCGCCGTACAGGTTGTTCGATTGATTGACGCCCAGGAAGAGCAGCGAGACCACATTGCCCAGTAGTGTGAGTTCCTTGAGCGTCTCCGTGGAGGTGTCCTCGTTGTCGCCCAGCTTGGCCACCAAATCGAAGGCCAGTGGCACCACAAAGCAGCCATGGGCCCAGGCCAACCCCGGATTGCTGGACTTCAGGTAAAGTTCGATGTTGGTCAGCGGCGGCGGCACTATCTCCATAATACCCGATGTTATCAGCCTGAATCGATTGCACTCGTCGTCGTCGTTGCTGGCCGCCCGCACCACCCCCAAAATGCCGTGGACCAGGCTCAAGGCCGCCGTCGCATAGCCGTAGGGCGTTTCCAGGGGGTGGAGGGTGTACAGCCCGTAGCCCGAACTGACCACCAACAGGCTGTTGAACAGGGCGTCCATCAGCAGCATCTTGCCTTGAATTTTCACCAACTTTCTACCTTTTTCCTACTTGGCATAGCTTGCCCCCGAGATTTTTTGGAACTTCAACTGCAAAAACGGCCAATTTATTGTTAGTCAACTCGCTTCGAACCCAATTACATGGCTTTTTTGACTGACTCAAGGGGCAGAGCTAACTTAGGTAGGCAAATTTACAAAAAAAAAAAAAAAAAAAAAAAAAAAACAATTAAATACAATTGTATAACTATCCAATTCCAAATGCACGTTAAAACATTTTGTTTTATAGCATAAATTTCTAGCATGCACCAATTTGAAAAAAAAGTGAAAACGCAGAATTTCTAGTTTTTGCAAGTCCGCCAGCAACGATTTCTTTCAGAATCGATGACTGTATCAATGTTGCACAGTGAAGGGGTAAAAAATATGTGTAACCAAATTCAGATCACTATTATTATTAAATACAATAGAAAGTCGTATTATATTTATACAAAGAGAAAAATATTCTTCTAAAATCGTTAAAAACAAATATATACCATTGAATGGAGCTCATTACAGAAACTAGCCAGTTTTTCTTTTAATTTCAAATAAATTAAGTAAATGAATCGTTAAAAATAAAGAATATCATAGATCGCTTAAAGTGTGAGGTTGGCAAAAAAAAGCTCTTAAAACCGATCATATACTGTAATGGAATCCTCGACTTCTCATTTGGCTGAGCACCGGCCCAAACCCAATGTCCCCGTTGATTTATGGCATCAAGGGTGGGCAGCTTAATCCACTCGCATCCACCTGCGATCTAAGATCCACCTGTCGGCAGATCGGCAGATGGCGAAAATACCCAAGTCCGAAGTCCACAGACTAGAGACCAGAGACCAGAGACCAAAGACCACTGAGCAACAACCACAAGCCCGCTTTAATTATTAATTTAAATCGCACCGTTTATATGATAAAGACACTGGGACGTGCCGCGAGCATTAGTGCATGTTTGCAAGTGAAGTGGCAAGTGCAGCAAAGAGCACAGGGGCGGATCAGGGGTTAAGTTTCCTTTTTCATTTTATCTTTATATTTTAATTAATACGTTTTACTTTTAATTTCAAAAGGAACCGCAACTTAAAGTCTAACTTTGCTTTGAGATTTAAAAAAAAAATGTAATATAGGTTTTATGTTCACTAAAAATCAAAGAAATTGAAATATTCTTATTATTATTTTTAATCACAAGCTAAAAAAGTTAAAAGAACGACTTATCTGCATTTTTAAATAACATTTTGTAACGAAAAGATTATTTGAAACGCTCCTCATCGACGTCAGTGTGTGGCGTGACAAAAGTTGTTGCTCGAATGCCTCCCCCTTTACAGCCCCACCCTTGACCCCGGCCCCGCCCCTTTTCGGGACATCGCCCCCCTCCCGCCCGCAGAGATCACCACCCAGACAATATAATGTCTGCAGGCAAACTCCGCAAGCGTAAAAATATGAAAAGTGCCGCAAGTGCAACTAGTGAAATAAAAAAATTAAAAATAAAATTAAAAAAAAAAACACACACAAGTGCAAGTGCAGGCAACTTGGCTCAGACACTCAATTCATAATTAATCAGGCTCTTCTTTCCACTTTCTGTGGCGAGCTTAACACTTCCCTTTAAGACACTGCGCGAAAAGGATTCAACTCCTAATAGTGATTATATATTCTTCATAGCCTTGGAAGAACAATGAATGACAGAGCTGTAAGACAATTAATATTAAAAAATTTCGGCAAAGTGTTAAAAATAAGTAGGAAATAAAATTGAAGACAAGGTTTTAATAGACGTAAAATATAAATAAATAGAAATGTAATACTACCTGGTACACTATATTCACTCTACTGCAAATAAATTGAGTTTCAGGCAGCACACAACCCAATAAAACCCATTTATTTTTTCAATAATAATAAAAAAAAATTGACTTATAGTTCTTATAGGAAAAAAAAAATAATGTTATTTTTGGAAGATTTTGTACTGCTTTTAAATGTTATTTTTCTTGCTAGATAAAACCACGCACTTTTTTTGGCAGTGCAGGGACAACCCTCAACTTTCCTGACTGTGTGCTAAGGTTGAGCGAGCATTCGTGATCGGGACCTGGCGGGGCATAGACCATACTAAGCCATTTCGTACCAGACCAGGCAAGACCAGACCAAAACCCGACCTGGAAGACCCTCTGCAGCTGGTGGTGTTTGGTGTTTGGTGTGTGCTGTGTGGTGTGTGGTGTTCCCTGGTCTGGGTTCGTCTTTTTTCGAATCGGTTCTGGGCCAGCTCCAGTTTTCAGTTTCCATTTTCCATTTGACTTTGCCACTTGCGGACCTGCAGACTTTTGTGGCTCGTGTGTGCCATTGATTTATGGCCCACTCGGCGCCCCGACTAATCAGCCGCATTTGCATGCAGATCGCAACAAAGTTTTTGGCCAAAATGTTTAATGAGCAACGCACCAAAGAAAAAAAAAAAAAAAACACAAAAAAAAAACACAAACAAAAAAACACAAAAAAAAAAAAACAAAAAAAACACAAAAAAAAACCTGCGTGGCCAAATATTTCCCGGCTAACAAAAACAAACCAAACCAAATCGAAACGAAACGAAACGTTCCGAATCGAGTCAAACGAAAAAAATGAACAACTTTTGAATCAATACAAGAAGCGAGCAGTTAAATACTCTTGTCCTACGCTTTTTTTATTTATCCCTTATTAATTTAAATAAAATTTTCTTTTAGCTCTAGGCTAGTAATTAAATATATTACTTGGTTTTTAAGGTTCTGTCTAACTCGTAAATATTAAAAAGTAAAAATATTTGATTGAACAAAATGAAATCATTTCTTTTTTATTTATTTATAAATTATTTTTATTTTTTATAAAATATATTGGGTAATCATACAGTTTTCTAACTTATTTAAATTACTCTTAAATTTCATGATACCCCTTCATCTGTAGGGTACGTGAAGAGGAGACGCTTCGACCAAATTGAATGGGGCAGTCCAAAAAAAGTGCGTGAGCGATGCGCAAATATTTGGCCGGAGTTTTGGAAGTGAAATAAATGAAATGAGTTGCGTTTTGGGGGCTCTCGAGCTGCTTGAAATGCGCGCCAGAAACCCTACGCACTTCATAAATTATTTAACAGCTGCCCTGACCAATTTTTTTTGTGGGGGGTGGGGGTATTGGGGCTTAGAGGGGTTTTTAAGGGGTACTTTGGGGGGGGTTTCGAGGGGCGATGGCCAGCGGAAGGGGACCAATTTTAATTGTCGGCTACATGACAATGACAACACACCAGCGCACGCACTTTTTGGAGGCCGATCGAGTCAGAAATCCGAAATACGAAATACAAAATCAGAAATCAGGCAGGCAGGCTAAAAAAAAAAAACAAAAAAAACAAAAAAAAAGCGACGCAGAAATGTGCGAATTTTTGACAACTGCAAAGCGAAGTCGAGGCATGTACAACATGGCTTTGTACACGATTGTCGCCCCTTGTCCGCCTGATTTATGGCAAATGCCCCGGACAAGTTTTCAGATCTATGCGATCCGTGATTCATATATAACATACAGATTGCCTCATTCGGTTGCTGGGAGCATGGGCTATGCCGAAGGAAGTACAACTACCTACAAGATATACAAAACACCATTTGACACCGAAAAGTGGGTCCAAAAACGCTGAAGATCGTGCGATCAGATGGATAATGGCGTTAATAGGGAATATTAAACAGGTGGGTGTAATAATTTGTCATACACTATTGTTTATTAATATTCACAGACAATAATGTCGGTACAAATTGTCATATAAATTATATTAATGAATATTTAATCAGAGGGATTATTAGCCGTTGTTTGGGATGAATGATAATGGTAATAATTGATAAAAATTTTGATTATAACAAAAAATAAATGAAATATAAAAAAATATAAAATATTGTGTATGGTAATTATTAATTAATTTATTATTTACTAAACGGTTTTTTATTGATGCAAATAATTCGATTGTTATTAAAGTAAATGCACCAAAAATAAATCGATATTTTACAATAATGAACTTGTTTGTAATTTAAATTAATATAATAATCACTTGCCTTAAATATTTCTTTGCTTTTCATAATATTAAGTATATCAATCTATAAAAGCTTTAAAAAATACACCTTTTGAATTGAAGTGCCCATTTTTTTTAGTCATACCTAAATTAAGCATAATAATAAATTTATTTAGCCGGCTGACAAGATTAATTTCAGAGTTATGTACGGAGCTCTTTGATGTTTTGAGTGATCAAAATGATTTGGTATAAATATGCTTTCTTGACACAAAAACTTTTTCACTTAAATGTCAAATAGATGCAGAACCATCACAACAAAATTGAGCTGCGAACACCGAACTGGTTCAAATGTGATTTTAATTATTAGGTTGTTAGGTAAAGTTCAAGCTATCGCCAAAACATAATTCTTAAATTCAAAGAAAAGAACACTTCTGGTTGTTAAATTAATCATTCGACTGCTCGAGCATCTTTAATTTAACTAGTTTATAATGGGCGATATTTCTTAATCAGACAAAAACACCTATTAATGAAATCAACATTCAAAAACTTAAACATTCTGTGTAAAAAAAGTATAAGTACTTGAACATTCGTCACTACGTGAACTGCCATTCACATATTTGATGGAGCATCTCCCTGATCTTCCGAAACGAAGCGCCAGTTTCGAGATCAAAACAAACCGAACAATGGATGGGTTCCAATATGATGGACTTGCCTCTAGCCTAATTGCACAACATGCGGATGTGTATGAAAATCAAGCATTTTCGGCGGCATTATTTTCGCATTTGATTTGATTTATTTCGCTTTGTCGGTTGCTCAAGGATTGGACACATTATTATTTGGATTATTTATGGCACTTCGCCGAGCTCTCGGCATCCCCATTCAAGTTCCCATGGCAGTCGTTCATAAAATATACATATATAGTAGTTCAAGTGCCCTGGGGATCCATTTCCAGGAAGTCTTTTTCTGGGTCGAACCGGAAGTCGGCAGTGGGAAACTCTGCGAATACTAAGATCAGCTTTCAGTTCCCTTTGCATTGATTGGATAGCAAAAGCCGGGATCTGTAATCTCTTCTGATGTATAACAATAATATTATTTGAATAAAATATTAATTGTTCAAGAGAAAATGTATTTTTCTTA